GTATCAAGTTTATTTTAATGATTTTCTTAGCTTTTTCTCGCTAGCATGGCGCGTAAAAAAGTTTTACTTCAAAAACGAGATTTTGTATATTAGTGTATGATATAAATCAGTATTGATCGACGTATTCAATTAGTTTCGGACACTTAATGTTCCACCGAAAATTACTACAACTATTGATTTTTAAGTAGTACCCCCGGTATTATTTAGCTTTATTGGATAGAGAATGAAATTCCAAATAGAATGACATATGTCATTGTGCATAGATGATACAAAAACATTATTTCTAACTATGTACTTGTTAATGTTGCAAATTGTATCATGAAAAGTAGGTTGTATTTTATACAAAAAATTGTATCAAAGGAAATGTATATTAAAATTCTTAATTATGAAGTTGCAACATTTCCTTTGAACCAGACGTCTAATGAGTGGTAGTTAGCAGTTTCCTACTACAGTATTCTTTATAGGGTTTAAACCGCTCACTAGCAAGCTAGTTAGTTTTTTTTTTATTTTTGCTAATTATTTCTGTTTAGATAAGTGGAAATTACTTAATGTTATGTTCTCGTCTTTTATTTGCTACGCACTGTACGTTAAAATTATTGTTACTAAAAATAAGAAGCTAGAAACCAGAACAGTGACGTAACCGATGAGGTCATTTTATGGTAACGAGCAATCTGGCTGCGATATTATCTCATAAGAAAGTAAGATTATTAAGCATCAATAATTTAGAATAAACTTATTAAAAAAGTGGCTTCAATACAAATATTACTAGTAAATGAAAGAACATGTTCGTAATTTTCAATATATTTAATCGCTATCCTCAATATTTAAGCCAAAAAAATTGCTTGGTTGTATCATTTTTTCGTGTAATTATTAAGATATCCAAAATCATAATTCCCTTCTGTGGTATACCAATAAGTTTACTTTAGATAGAACCACCTATGTACCTCAAAATGTGTAAATTCTATATTATTTTTTTTTAACACAATTATTATGATGTATAGTGTTCTGCGAAGCTAGTATAAGGATCCAGAAAAATGTTGACAGACGACATCCGACAGAAAATACAATATAATTGTGAATTTAAACGACAGACAACTGTCACTATCATGAATGATCTTTTTTGGGTAGATTTTTGGTATATTCTTTGCCTATATTAAACAATTTTTCAATTATTGTCAAATATGATATTTACAAATGAAAAGTACTATACATTTTTAAGCATTAATTCAATTTTTTACGAGTTAATATTTTCAAAAAAAAACACTTATATGTTTGTAATAATGAATAATACATCAACATGTTCATTTTATTTAATGCAATATCAAAATTAGAGAAAACCTACGTCGTATATAGTTTTAAATTCAATAGTTTTCAAATTGTTTACATATTAGCATTATCAAATACTGCAAAAACACTAAAATTATTTGTTACAGTATGGGTTCTCCCATTTTCGTTTTAATATTATTGTATTTATGACTTCATTGTTCTGAAGCAGACCCATGTTGTATTTAATTTAACCGTAGGTAACGGTGTTTAGGCTTTTCACCTTGACACTCCGTTATATTTCTTTAATTGGACTGTGATTGTTGAGTGCGATTACTCTAAACCTATATACTATATACCATCCTATATACCATATTATAGAGTATTTATTAAATAATAGTACAGGAGGCAGTGAATTTTTTTATACTTATTTTCCCAGTGGGTGATTATACCGGGTGCGTCTCAAAAGTGGCTCACCCCTATAACTTTTTTTAATTTTTTCAGATAAAACAACGAGATTTGGTATGTTAATATATGACATAAATTAGGATTGATTGACATATTCAATTGTTTTCGGTCCCTTCCGGTTTCACAAAAAATGACTACGACTTTTGATTTTTAAATGGCACCCTCGGTATTTTTTTACTTTATTCGATAGAAAATGACACTCTGAATAGAATGACATATCATATGTCAACTTTTGACATTTTCGCATATGGTTTATTTGAAATTGTTATCTGCGGTTCAAACGACAATTTGACTCGAAATACCAAGTGTGTGGTACCAAATTATTCGTAAAAAAATATTTTTCCAAATATGCTAATGAGCCACCCTCGTTCCATTTGAAAAAATTGCGATATGATGAAAAATACGATTTGGGCACATTTTAACCGGCCAGGACAGGACACTAAAAACATTAGACGATCAAATCTATTTTTCCTTGATTAAAAATTAGTGTTTTTAACACAGCAATGGCACCCTAGATTGAAATTGAAAATACAATTTGTTTTTGAGCGAATATGTCAAAAGTTGACATACGATATGTCATTCGATTCAGAGTGTCATTTTCTATCGAATAAAGTAAAAAAAATACTGGTGCCATTTAAAAATCAAAAGTTCAATCAATCCTAATTTATGTCATATACATACTAACATACCAAATGTCGTTTTTTTATCTGAAAAAATAAAAAAGTTATAGGGGTGAGCCACTTTTGAGACGCACCCGGTATAATAGTATGTTCAGATAGTGACATTAAATGACAATTTGTGAGTGTGCAATTTTATATTATAGTATTTTTTTAGTTAATTTAAGTTAAATAATATTAAATTATAGTATTTTTTCAGTTAAAAAAATGAGATTTGGTATGTCAGTATATGACATAAATTAGGATTAATTGACGTAATCAATTGTTTTCGGTCACGTCCTGTTTCACCGGAAATGACTATAACTTTTGATTTTTAAATGGCACCCTCGGTATTTTTTTACTTTATTCGATTGAAAATAACACTCTGAATAGAATGACATATCACATGCCAACTTTTGACATTTTCGCATATGGTTTATTTCAAATTATAACATGCGGTTCGTAACGAAAATTTGACTCGAAATACCAAATGTGTGGTATCAAACTATTCGTAAAAAATGCTTTTTCCAAATATGGTAATTGAAAAAATTGAGATATGATTAAAAATACGATTTGAGCATTTTCTAACTTGCCAGGACAAGATATTAAAACAGGGGATCAAATCTATTTTTCCAAGGCTCCTTGATTAAGAATAAGTGTTTTTAATTAATAAATTTAAAATACGATTTTTTATAAGCGAGAATGTCAAAAGTTGACATATGATATGCCATTCTATTCAGAATGTCATTTTCTATCGAATGAAGTAAAAAAAATACTGAGGGTGACATTTAAAAATCAAAAGTTGTAGTAATTTCCGGTGAAATAGGAAGTGACCAAAAACAATTGAATACGTCAATCAATCCTAATTTATGTCATGTACTAACATACCAAATCTCGGAAAATTTTCGGATGGGTTCAGTAAATAAAAATAAAACAAGTCCAAGTTCACAAGTCCACTTATTTTCCCATTCATAAATATTTGATCTTTATTAAAGTGAATCATTTTATCAATGGACATACCAGTCTGGCACGTCCCAAGTCGAGAAAAGTCAGCCTGGCTGAAAATTTACGAACGCAAAAATTTGACAGGTTTTCGAAATCCGAAACCCTTATTTTCCCATGCTTGAAATTTAACGTATCATTTGATACTATCATAAACTATAGTCAAAAGCAAATCTGGCTGATTTACGAAATTGGAAAATGAGTCTGGCGACACTGGAAAAATAAGTACCGAAAATTTTCACTACCTCCTGGTCTTAATGAGTTAAGTTGATTGTTGATTTTAAAAATGATAGGAGATCTATGACGTACAGCAAAATTCTGACAGAGTAATTCAAACAACTTCTTCCAAAAAATGAACATGAATTTAAACATACATTCTTTAAATTGAAATAATATACAGTTATATTTAAAGTAATTTATGTGATTTTAATAGTAATAAAATGAGACACCTTTTAGTGGAAAGCCCTTTACTTCTATAAATCTTAAAAGCAATTTTCCTTAAACGTTACTTTCGTACAATATCATATTTCAGAGTCAGACTCAAGGTTTTTTCGCATATTACTAGAAAAAATACACTATAATTATGTATATTTACGCTTGATAATGCATGCAAATGATTACGTTAATCAAAATAAATGTTCCCTGATTCATTAGTTCAATTTACTTGTTTAGTGTTTGCAAACTTATTAAAACTTAAAAAATGTCTATACCCATGTGGCGGATTCATCTCTCCAAAAAATCCTATATATTTTTTATTAAAACTTATATTCTTAAATAATAATTAACATTCCTGTAAATTTTTACCTTATCCATAATGGATTAAATTCATAAGCTTTATGAAGAGGTCAATATCAATGGGGTAATTCTCATGCAAATGTCAACCAGGTAGTAATTTTATTAATATTAAAATTTAAAAATTAAAATTTTTATTAAAATGTTTACCTTAAATAGGAATATATTATTACAGTCCCATAGAACGAAATAATTTTGGAGAAATAACTAAAAAACGTATTATTTCTTTTTAATTTGACTTAGTATACCAATTCTGACAAAGAAGTAGAATTATTATTGCCAAAACTTACGGTTACTTACGAAATTCTTTAACGATCACAATTTCTTCACAAATAAAAAATAATTCGAGAAACTGTAAGTATATAAATACGCTAAACTAAGTATATAAAATACAATATGATCGAAAAAAAACCGTTTTTGATTTTGTAGCATCCGATTTCTGTCGAGGCAGAATATAATAGATGAATAAAAAATGATTTGCAGATCATAATAGACTTAAAATTAATCAAAAAGAAATCAGCAGTGGTGTAAATTCGAGATGTCCGATGTCAAAACTTTGATAATGTGCGAGTTGTGACTGCATCTTTTGGCACTTGAAAATTGAACCTGGTTTAAAAAGTGAAGTGGCTTGTAACAATAACTGGAGACTAGAGACATTGCATTTGCATGGATTGTCGATATTTCTCCGATGTCAATATTGGATTGGTTTAATGAAATGCGTTTACAATTCTGAATGACTTTAAGTTAAGTAATGGTTAAATTAGATATCATCAGAGAGAGTCCCACATTAATTTAAACATTTAATCTGAAATATCTTACCTCAGTGACGGACTTCTTGGTGTAGTCGTTCAGCGAGTGTATCCACACCTGCAGCAACTCATTGACAATGACCAGATCGTTGTACAACCACTGGAACACGTCGTTGACCCACAGGACAACCACGTTGTCCGGCCCAGTGGCCTGGGGCGCGGGCACGTAGCGGGCCTTCCTGGCCTCAGGCGCTGGACTCTGGCGCGTCAGGCGCCTGCGAACTGGCGGGGTGGGGGGCACGAAAGCCCCCGCGGCCTTGGGTGCGATGACCGGCTGCTGCTTTTTGGCCGCGTCCAGCACATCACTGGACCCGGCCAAAACAGCACCGGAAGTAGTATTGGTCAATGCTGTGGTGGATGAAGCCTTCTGCTTGGACCTGGCCACGACGAAGCGTTCGTAGAGGAACCGTCCGAGCCAGAGCACGAACAACGCGACCAGGATCCAGCCGAACAGGAACATAGCGAGGGTGTCCATGGTGGTGTCTCCGGAACCGTCCAGCGCACAAATCAGGTCGTCCACGGCCTCGGCTAGATCCATGGTCCAGCCATTGCGTTCTCAGATGACGGCGCTCTGCGGAAAGAGAAAACGAACGGTCATGGCTGGCGCGGCGATACTGGCGGTTTTGCGTACAATGTGGATTCGAAAATTTTATGTACGGAAAATTGAGTCGGGAAACGTGCCGAGTTTAGCGTGAATGTACTGGAATGTAAATTAGACAATTCGGTTTTAAATTTTCCCGAAATATTTTTACAAGTATTTCAAAACATTACAAAATGCATTTCACGCTTAACTCAAAGTTAGGTTTACCTAATTTTAAGTAAAAACTATTAACGTATAATTACTTGGAATAATTTTATACAGTTTTATGGCCTGAATACCCTATTTATAATTTATATGATTATATAAGTACAGGGTGTGCCAAATTAGACACTTTTAAACGGAAACACCCTTTTCTATAGAAGACTGACGAAAACTAATATCGATGTCTGGAGCTCAATTTTTATTAGTTAGAAATATGATAGTAAAAACCGCACATCGATATCTGTTACCGTTTCGGAGTTACGGGGTGTTTTTCAAAAATGTGCATTTTTAACAAATCGCTAATTTTTTTTGCTTCAGAAAATTTTGTATTTTTATGAAAACATTTCCAAAATACCTTTTTACGTAGAATTTAATGGTTTAAGTATACTTTTTTTTTAAATTAACAATTTGAGAGTTATCAACAGAAAAATTGATATTTTAATTGGGACACCCTGTATATTTTTAATTAACTGAAAAGACCGTAAAAATACAAAATTTTTCATAGCAAAATATAGAAAAAGGTGTTTCCCTTTAAAAGTGTCCAATTTGGCCCACCCTGTACATACTTGATGATGCCATCTAAAACACACATTGCCCTAATGCCTGCAAGTGTTCAATACAATTTATTTTTATAAGTGTACTTAACTTCTTAAATGTATAAGTTTTAAACCGTATTTGTAAGTATAAACTTAACGTCCACACTTTAGTGTACCACGCGACGTTAAGTATACCATTGATAAAGACTATCAATTGTTGTATGTAATACATATAATACACTGTTGTACTTAACTTATTTTTTTGTTTTATAAGGTATTATTTTCCTTTACATTTTCAAACGGTTCCTAACTGGAAACATGCTATTATAATTTTAAGATATCAGTTTTGAAGGTTAACAGTTAAAAATGCTTGTATAAAATGCACGTTATGTTGCAGTGTGGGTATAAACTCTAAAGGCCTAAGAGACGGGCACTTCAAGTCCATTCTATACCAATAGTACGCAGGGGCGGATGGGCCATATGGGAAAACGGGAAAATTCCCGGTGGGCCGGTGGAAAGATGGGCCGGTGAGCCGGTCCCGATCAGAGCTCAAAAAAGATTGTATTAGCAATTGCTGATAAATATAAACACCAATTTGTAAAATAACTATTGTAAAATGTCTTTCTCTGGGACACTTATAATTTTAATAATCATCTGTTGTTTGTTAGGTTTGAAAATTTTTATTAAACAAGGTGAGTCTATAAGTGCAAATATTTTCAGGGCTGGTAGATCTTTATAAAATAAACATAATATATTCTCTTTATCGAGTTTCAAATAAGTCTAATCGAGTTATTAAAGTTTGGAAATTGAAAAAAAATTATTTATTTTTAAAAAAAATTGAGCCACCTCAGTTTTTCGGTATTTGCATCTCTTTTAGTGCCGTAATATCAGAGATTAAGAAACTACACCGTGGGAAAATTTGCGGTGAACAGGAAGTTCTAAAAAGTTTTCTAAAATATACAGGAAAATTTAAAAAAAATGCTCGATTTTTAACATCTTTTTTTGTAAAAAAAAAACTCATAGACGAGTTCCTGGGGTCGAAATATATACCACCCCTGAAAATATTTGCACTTACATATATGACTCACCCTGTATAGTTTTGCCAACTATTCTTTTATTAATATCTAGACTGGCAGCAAAAAAAAGAATGAATAGCATTAGGTAAATTTAAATAGTCTCGATCTAAATGTATACTAAGAATACGGTAGCGTAGATTGACAACTGGGGGCCTCGGTGCAATATTTTTCGAGCTCCCCTTTGTAAAAAAGTAGACGAATTTGACGCGAACTCTGCGGTTGACGGAGAAAACATATCTACCTATACTTGGTTTGAATTGGGGACGGACTGGAAAGCCAAGTCTGAGAACTAAAAGCCAAGTCTAAATTGTTGTTTAAAATGTTGTTAAAATGAATTTGTAAAACATTACTGAGACAGCAGAGAAGAGTTAAATAGGGTTTAAACTAGATTAGATAATAAAATATTAATATGTCTCGAAAATCCAAATATTCTTATTATGGACTGTAACATGGCATTACATGAGAACACATTTATATCCACTGGCTAGGTATTCCCTAGGTTTTTTTCGTTTGAGTCATGGCATTATCATACAAGATGCCAAATGTAGAAAAGTATAGAGGAAAAGTTTCGTGATAAGAACTATATAATAACCTAAAAAATGCTGCAGTTTTAATGCCGACCGCGGTTCATTCGGTTACGGTTCACACGTGTACACGAGGAGGCTGCGGTTGTAGCAGAAAAGAGAGAATTTCTTTCTACAATGTGTAAGAAGTATATACCCAAAAAGCTAAATGTATTTCACAGAGGATTGGGTCAGCTGAACCGAATGAATCAGGAAGTCTTACAGTGTTTCAAAATCGTGACTCAAAATCGTAGCTTATTCAAGAACCGTTATCGATAATGAAAATAAAGTAGTAGAATCCTGTAAAACTGAGCCATTTTGTAGTAAAAATTCAGATGTCCGACCCAATATTGGTCTTTACGAAAATTTTGATCAAGACAATTTTTTTTTAAAGAGCAAGGACGGAGACAAAAGAGCTTTTTCGCACGAGCGAAAAACGCCCTTACTTATATATTAATAAATAAAATATGTTTCTTCGTTATGGTCATTTTGTTTTTGTGGATTTGGGCCGGTTGCCTGTTTTTCCCGGGCCGGTTTCCACCTCCCAACCACCCCTGATAGTACGACATTCTCACCAACAGGCAATTCTCGGTGGTGGAAGCAACTGATAGTAGTCCATTTGCCAGTCAAATGTTTATCTGGTAGTCTAAGCTAAGCTAAATATTTAAAGTGGGATTGGACCTTCGTTCTTTCCTTTCAATTTTTTGACAAGAAAGAACGCATAAGGAAAGAATTACAGGAAAGAACGCTGGTGTATGAGTACCTTTTGAGTCTTGAAGTGATTGAGAAACAAATACAAGTGTCTATCAATTCCATTCCAGATTATGATATTTGTCTACTGTCTATACAGGGTGGCGCACCTCAATCGCCTCGGTTGATTATACGAAAACGGAAAGATATCTATCTGGCTGAGATTTTGAATAAAAAGCGATTTTTCAATAAAATTGTAATCAAGATGGCTAGTGTTGTCATGGCAAGTTTCTAGTGACAGTTAGTAGCTATTTTCAAAATCGAAATTAGTTTATGGACTTATTTAAATTTATACCAGTTTACTTTTATTTAATTTACGTACAATAGTTTAATAAATAATATTTATTAAATATGTGTATATTATTCTATCAAGAAAAACAAAGAAGTAATTCTTTGAATTATTTTACGATGACCATCAGCTCTGCGAAACAGGACAAGAAGTTTTTCAAAGAAACGCTTAACAGGAAGATTCCTATTTGGATGTCTTTGAGCATAAGCCCTTGAGGCCAAGAAGCAATTTTCCTCACAAAGTAATATCACTAGTAACATAATCTATTCGTTCCGCCAGCTACTGATGCTTTATTTTTCTTGATAAATAATGAATACTTACTTATTAAACTATTGTAAGTAAATTTAAATAAACTGTTATAAATTATAAATAATAATGTCCATAAACTAATGTCGACTTTGAAAATAGTTACTAACTGTCACTAGAAAATTGCCATGGCGACACCAGCCATCTTGATTGCAATTTTATTTAAAAATCGCTTTTTATTCAAAATCTGAGCTAGATAGGTATAAGAAACCCTATTATAGTTTGAAAGAGCATTTGAATCTGCTTCGATTTATTTAAAAAAATACAGGGTGTTGCATTTGAAATAACGAAGTTTTATATAAAATATATCCTTAAAATAGATCAGCAACTTTTGATAGCCCTGTATAAATTTAAAGAACCAATACCATTTTTCAGTAAAGTTTATTTCTCTACCTTTAAATTCAGCATGAGAATTAATTCTGAAAAATAATGTACAGGGTGTTATAATAGTCTATTCTATTGTAGCATGCAAATTTAAATATATTTAAATATCTCAACAACTAAAGATTTTAAACATCTTTAACCCTAAGAAGAAATACTTTTTTTTGGGCCCAAGAATCCAAAAATGAAATAAAATACCGGGTGTTCCATAAGAAAAAATATAACTTTGGTATGGATCTTAGTTCTGAAACACCCTGTATATTTCAAAATAATTTTAAATTGTGCACATTGTCTCCCCACATATACCCATAAAATATTTTGTTTCTACATCTTTCCGTTTTCGTATAATCAATCGAGGCGAATGAGGTGCGCCACCCTGTATAGTCTACTGTCTACATACTGCTTTTAAACAAACGTAAGCTATATTCTATACAGTGCATATAAAATGACTGATAAAATAGAAATCCTCCTTTTACAGTACCATGATCTATAACAGATATGCCCAAAGTGATCCAAGTGGACTCCCAGAGATCCACGACGCAAAGGAAATTTCCATCGTTATAACTAATTTTCAATTTTTTTACGAGTTTTGGGAAAATTGTAGAAATGTAGCAGCAGAGGGTCCACCAAAACCAGTAAAATTTCTCTATGAAAAAAATTATGAACCTCCGCTGTATACTGAGCGTAAGCTACCTCTCGCATATTCTTGTAATGTGTGTTATCACTGTTATCAGTGTTTCTGAAGTACACGGGATCTTCACGGGAAAATAGACACCTCGAAGAATCGAATCTACAGTTCATAGTAAAATCCGAACGGCACTATTTGAAAGGCTGTACTAGGCAAATATACTCAAGGTGGTTTGGCATT